CAAAAATCCTTGGGCATGTTTTTGCTTTCAACATGTTTTTAGCCATATTAAGAATAGTTCTATTTTTTCTTTCCACAACTCCATTTTGTTGTGGTGATCTTGGAACAGTTAAAGAGTGACGAATTCCATTAGATTCACAGAAATCATGAAATTCTTTACAAATAATTTCACCTCCTCTATCTGTTCATAAAGATTTTATATCACAAACACAGTTTTTTTCTACAAGAGCTTTCAAAATTTTAAAAGCAGAAAAAACATATGATTTTTACTTAAAAAATAACCAATTATTCCTACTAAAATCATTAATAAATAGTATAAAATATTTGTGTTTACCAAATGAAAGTGGATTGATTGGCCCACACACATAGGTGTGCACAAGTTGAAGTAACTTGGTTGCTCTTGTAGTAGCTTCTTTTGGAAAACTCCTTGAATGCTTTCCAAGTAGACATACTTCACATAATCGATTAGAATGGTTAATCAATGGGATCCTTTTCACCATTTTTTCTTCTCCCATCGCCTTAAGTGCACTAAAGTTCAAATGGTCAAATCTCATATTCCAACACCATGCTTCATCTTCCACACTAGCCTTCAAGCATCTTGCTTAAATAGTTTTGAGAGTCGAGATAAGCATTATATTCTTTTACATATGCACCTCAGCAATCAAATTAGCACTTTGATCTTTAAGCCAAAGATAATAATCTTTTCTGTGAATTTCATATCAATTTTCAAGAAATTGGTCCAAACTCAAAATATTACTTCTTAATAAAGTACATAGTAAAGATTAGTGATAAGTACATGCCTACCATTTTTTGAAGAGATTAGAATTATATATTTCTCTTGAATTTGAACTTTTGAAGAGTCTTCAAAAGAAACATTACTATTAATCAAGCTCCACAATTTTCTCTTTGTTGCTGGACATGTGATTGCTTGCTCCATTATCCAAGTACCATGAATTATGGGTATCACTATCTCCCTTTATACATACTAGCAACAAAGTTCTTTTTTCCTCATCTTGTTTATCATTGATGAAATTGGCTTGCTCCTCCTCGTTTGGAATGTTACGATATTCTCAAGCATAATGTCCATATCTATGACAATTGTAACATTAAATATTTGATTTGTTAAAGTTTCTATAGTTACCTCTTCATCTTCCTCTTCCTCTTCCACGACCTCTATTTGATGGTTGGATTTTTTTTTTTATTATCGGCATCATCTTGAGTGTCATTTCTTTTTAATGTCTGACCATGACCATGACCACGTCCTTTACTTCTTCCTCGTCCTCTTTGTTTTCCACCATCATTCAAAGAGGCATTTGATTGGGAACTTATTCCAAAGGCTCTTCTTATTTTTTCTTTATTTTTTTTTTCATGAGATATTAGATATCCCTTTAATTGCTCAAATGTCAAAGTATTTATATCCTTTTATTCTTCAATGGCACAAATCACATAGTCGAATTTTGGTGGCAATGATCGAAAAATTTTCTGTACCACACGAACATTTTCCATCATTTCACCATATTTCCTCATTTGGCTTACTATAGACTTTACCTTTGAGTAAAAATCTGAAATAGATTCAACATCCTTCATTTGTAAAGTTTCAAACTCGCCTCGTAAAGTTTGGAGTCGCACCTTCTTCACCTTGTCAACTCCTTAAAGGGAATTCTTCAAAATCTCCAAAGTTTGCTTTGCTTGTAGCATCGGCCACCTTTAGAAACATAAATTCATCTAAACCTTGATGGATGAGTGCAAGGGCTTATTGATCATTTTTCTTTATTTTTACAAAAGTATCCTTTTTATTTTGAGTTAAGGATCCTTCATCTTTGGATGGAGTAAAGGCTCTTTCTATAATATCTCACACATTTTGTGAACCAAGTATAACTTTCATACGAAGATATTAACTCTCATAGTTTTCTTTTGTAAGACGAGAAAGTTGAAAAGAAAATAGATTATTGTTAGCCATCTCTCTAGAATTTAATAAGAAACTAAGCTCTAATACCATTTTGTTAGCCATCTCTCAAGTTTTTTCTATTGTGGTTGTTACAAAAAAACTTCAAAATTATTACTATTTATAGACACTATTACAACTATTAGAATTAACTATAACCACCAACAAATGTAATAAATCTAATTTATGACCATAACTATCAACAAACTAAAAGATATATAGATATTCTAATTTATGAATTCAACTACTAACAAACTAATTAATTATATTCTTAATTTGTAAATTAATTCTTAACAACTTAATCATGTGCTTCTGAATGCTCTCCATATCTCGCACAAAAGACTCTGGAAAGAAGTAGTAGAAAAGTAAAAAGTTGAAGAAACAGATCCGAGCTCCCTCTTGAAACGACATAGTTTTGATTATAATGGTAATAGATCTGCTTTTGGGCTAAATGGGAATTGGGTTTGTTTGGGCTTAGGGTTTGGGTTGTTGGGTTTGTTTGGGCTATCATGGGTTTTAAAGAGGTATTGAGTTTTTGTTAAAGGTTAAAGAGGATTTAAATGAAGAATGATTTTTGTTCTTTTATTAATTCTTTCCCTTTTTTTCCTTTTCCTTTTATTTTTATTTTCTCTCTTTTTATTTTTTCTCATTTTTTTGACTGATTTAATAATAATAATATTTTTTAAAAAATTTAAAAATTTAAAAATTAATCCGAACGAAAGTAGAATATTATTGGGTAGTTGGTTTAAGACAAGAGGGTAATAAAATAAATTTACTTTAGTTTTCAGCTGATACTTTGTTTTTTTCCAATAAAAAAGTAGAGAAAGTTGTTAATGTCAAAAGACGAGTTTTAAGGTGTTTTGAGTTAGTATCAAATTTGAAAGTAAATTTTGTAAAGAATAAAATAATAGGGATTGAAGTAGAAATAGAATGAATGACTCTTCAAATTAGATGTAGTGGGACTATTGCATGTTATTGCTTAGGTTTTCCATTACAAGCTAATTCGATTTCAAAGGTTACTTGACAGCCAGTTTTGGATAAGTTGAATCAGCATGGAAAGTGAGGTTCTCATTGATGGGAGAAAGGATGATTCAAACATTTTTAGAAGCGAATCCTGTGTTTTATGTCCTTAATGAAAATTCTGGTGCGGGTGGCTGATAGGATTGAAAGTAGTATAAAAAATTTTATTTAGGAAAACACTCAGGATCATAAGAAGATGTACTTTGTATCACTGGGGG